TAAGAGTACTTTAGAATGGTGTGTCGTAAATATGTTCGCCGAAGTAAAAGGAAGATAGGCAATTTGGAAGTAGTTTAATTTTCACTGACACTTTTGATTGAAGTAAATTTTGAAGCATATGCGGTATTTACCAAGCTCGTTTGGTCATGATGGCTTCTTTTTTTCGCGTTTACATGGACCGAGACGAAATGGCTTCATCTTGCCCACGGGTGCTGCTAACTTTATAATAAATATGCGTTATTAACCAAACGTCAGGTCAAGATGGCTGGATATTGGCCAAGTTCTTTTTTTGCATTTTTATAGACCGAGACGAAGTCGAGGTCCATTGAATACGAAAAAAGAACGAGGCTGATATCCAGCCATCTTGACCGAAGAAGCTTGGTTAATAAAGGATTTAGTATATCTTAAAAAGAATTCGCTTTAATAAGAATAAAGAAATGACTTGTTTACTTCGAGGGCCGGGAAAGAAAGCTAACTGTGTTTGTAACACAAAAGAGTCAAGAAAGTCGTTTCTGTTTTCTTTGTTTTGACTATCTACTGCCACTTTTTGCGTTTCCATCGTCGAAATTGTCCAAGAACTACGAACGTAGTTCTAATTCTATTTTTTTCATGCGCGGTATCAATGCAGGTAATCCAGAGCGGGCAAGAAGGGCCTTTCCCGCTTGGTTAGCCAATCAGAACACAGGATTTTCTTCACCTTGCCCATGGGCGTTGCTTGCGATGTAATAAATTGTGTTTTTATAGAGCTGGAAGCGCGCGCGGGCAAGATGAAGCGAATCCTGTATTGAAGAATTCTTCCCATCTTGCCCGCTCGGGATTACCCGTATTGATCCCGCGCACGAAGAAAAGTGCGTGGAGCGGACTTACATATATCGTAACTCTTGGACAATGTCGGCGAAGAAGTCGCAGAAAACGGCAGAAGACAAGCCAAACAAAGAAAAATTGAAATGACCTTCTTGGATTATTGTTCTACAAACGCAGTTTGTTTTATTTCCCGGCTTGATATAAACAATTCGCTCTCGATTTTTTTGCTATGTGATTACTCCTTCATTGACCCAGCTTGTTCAGTAAAGATGGCTGAATATTGGTCGAGTTCTTTTTTCTTTTTTTTTTTTCGCGTTTTTATGGACGGAGACGAAGTTACTCATCTTGCCCACGGGCGCTACCAGCTATAAAATAAATTGTGTTATTGCTATCACACATACCTCCCTTTCCTCTCTCGGTCGACTAATGCAATTTTCTGACTTGATATTTTGCACTAGAAAAAAGTCTTGGCGTTCCTTATGCCAAAGAAGATGTCTTTTCACAGTTCTACGAGGGAACATCATCTTGTGAAAGTTGCACTTGGGAAATAACCCACAGGAAATAGTTTTAAGTTCAAGTCCAAGCATGTTCTATCAAACTGGTGTACCATGACAATGAATAATGAATGAGGTTGGAATGGTTTGGTGTTAATTTTAATGATGGATTTTAATTTGGTAGCTATATAGTGCTCGAATGAATTCCCCTTTTCATGAGAAGAATTCTTGAACTGCACGTGAAAGTCTATGGGGTTGTAAATTCGACAGGCTGACTTTGCTATGGATGCCTAAGAATTTTGGTAATATTTATTTTTGGCGGTCGATGACCCCATACGAAGGCGAAAGCGGTTTTGATGGGGCATTTCAATAATGATTGAGCACTTATCTTCTTCAAAGTAAACATGTAGGTCACGATAAAAATATGAACAGAAGGTGACAGCCAATATACTCTTACTACTCATTGGGTGCGATTAAGGACTGTTTGGCCGTTCATAAAGGTAGGCAGAGATTTATTGAGGATAAAAGCCCTTAACTGTGATGTTGATCTTTGCGGAAATGACAATCATATGCTAATAGGGTTAGGGAATTTGTACAAATAACAGATAATTATGTCATCTTTGCTTTTCGTAAATTCAACAAATTGAGGAGCAGATGGAGAGAAACGGAAGTGTGGCTTGAAAACTAAACAATTAGCGAAATGAATCGAGAGGTAGGTTTACAAGACGTAATAAAGTTTCCTTTTTTCATTTTGTAGTCGCTCGTCTTGTCTATAAACACTGCCGATTAATTTTCAGCGATGCTAAAATATACTGTTTTGACATCGTTGCACCAGGAATTTGTTTCGTTAGGACAGGTCCCGTCGGAAAATTTTTTTTGTTTTGAAAACGAAAGTTCGCTTTGTCAGTACAATCTGATTTTTATTCGTTGAAACTCCGTGTTAACATTCCCTTTACTTTAAATATTTAAATGATGAAGGGCAAGGGATTAGGCTTTCTGACTCAGCTCTATGCTATCTTTTTCTAAATTTTGTTGCCCTCAACCATTTTCACGATAGAAGAGTAAAAACTTAAGAGACCAACAAAACGCTGTTCGGGGGGGCTCATGAAGTATGGGTAACGCTCTTGAATCAATTTTTATCATAACCTTATTTGACTTCCTTTCACAATCGGAATTAAACATCAATGTCAAGGCAACGGAAACACATCGCTGGACTGGTTTATACAACATCGTATTCGTTTAACTCAACTGAAGAATTCACGAGCATGAACAAGTGTCAAGAAAGGAATTTATTTCAATATTAGACAGCTCTGAAATGTATCAAAATAATCAATAGAAATATGAAAATGTTGATATAATCATTTCATTGGTCCACTTCGTGTTCTCCTGCGAAAAAGAAATAAAAAATTAATGAGTAGATATTTAACTGGTCGGGCTTTGAAGGTGACATTCACAGAAATTATTTGTCGAGTCATTCACCTGCGTAGCAGGGCATCCCTCGTCCTCATAAAGATCAGTCGCACAAAGATCGTCATCTCTAATCATAAGACAGGAAATTTTTTAAAGTGACCTTGGTTTACATTTTGACCGACGGGTAGATTAATTTTCACGCATTTCTCCTTTCAAGATAAATTGTTGTCTAGTCCCACGCATACTTAACGATTCTTGGAAAATGGAGAGCTCATTTTGCGGCAGTGTAACCATTTTCTGAAATTGGCTTTGTAGCTCAGTTGCTCCGTTGGTAGTAGAAGGGAAACGGTGGCTATATTTTAATTTATTTCAGGGAAATTTTTTTGCCAAATTTGAAACTCTCTAATTTAGATCACGTACCCTATAAGAATAGCATCAGTACACCGCTGACTCCCTCGTCCGGATGTAGTCCAACCTGGGGGAGCGTTTACGTCGTTGTCCTAACAAAAGAAAACAGACGGGTGGTTGGGTTTAAAACCTGACGAGAACGTAACTTGAAAGCGTTTTCAAAGAAAACGCCTGTTGATTAATTCGTCTGTCCATTTCTTGCGTGACGAAATGGCTGCGTTTGAGAGTGTCAATCACTTGGTTGATAAACATGTCATTCGGATATATATTTCGGGTAACTTCCAGTAGAAATCAGAGAGAAGAAAACAGAAGTGGTTCAAAATGCGACAAGAAGTGCGATCTATGTAAAAATGATTTAATTCAAGCTTCAAAATTTCAAAGTTCGGCAACTGGTCGTCAATATCCCATTCAACAAAGGCTGTCTTGTTCGGATAGGGTCTAAAAGTACTTCACAAGTGACCACGAGTGAGATTAAATAGAAATATCTCAGTTTTGTTGCTATGACTTCATCACGCAGTCAAATTCACATCATTTCATCAAATACCTATTAGAAAGGAGACTATTGACTGAATATTTTCCGCGGCATACGTCCGATAAGTGAAAAAAAGTCCAAAAAATATATTTAAAAAACCATAACTACAGCAAAACGTATATTTTATTATATTTTATTATATTACCACGGTAACTTCATCCTCGTCGTCGCTTAGAACGATTACATCCCTTCGATCTTTCTTTCTTCCAGGACTTTCCTTTTTGGGGGAAATATCTTTACGCTTCTTTTATTATATTTTATTATATTACCACGGTAACTTCATCCTCGTCGTCGCTTAGAACGATTACATCCCTTCGATCTTTCTTTTTTCCAAGACTTTCCTTTTTGGGGGAAATATCTTTACGCTTCTTGTTTAATAAGTCAGCCATGGCCGAACTTAACAGGAAACGCGCAAACCCATTCTAAAGCGCGCGGAAACGCCCAAAATGCCCCCCATGGTGTCTAGCTGCCTAGTTCTCATGGTTGTTGTTGTATACTAATTTTGGAATCGTACGGAAAGGTTAGGTGTAATAAAAAGTTGTCATGGTAAACATATACTCATAAGAATCGTTCACGACCCAAGCGATATATAAGCTAAGAAAATAGCCGGACTATTACTTTGACGTTAGGAGAAGTGAGTTTACGACGCAAAACCCAATGATGTACTTGTCCAGACATCATACTCGTCGGCAGTACATTTTAAAGTTGAATGGAATTTTCCAAAGTGAGGGGCTGATCATTGACATCATTAAGTTGTTAAAATAGAGCCAAGTAAAATGGTCATGTGATATTTATGACCATTCTTTAAATCGTTTTTGTTTTCAACCTATCGTAACTGTGCAATCTGTAATGTATGGTCCACACTGCAAGTTTTTAAATATTATCGCATCTGTTTTTCATGTTTTTCAAATCGTCCGCATTTATACAGTGAATAACTTCAGTTTTCGTGAGTAAGTCATTATTTCATGAAATTAAGTGAAAATGATTCCGTAATGACGTCACAGTAAGCAAACTGAGATATTTTGATTTAATGTCACTCGTGGTCACTCGTGGCCACTCGTAAGTACTTTCAGACCCTATCGTCTTGTTCGTCACAAAATGTTATTTATTTAGCCACCTGTGCCAAAATGCAACCTGCAATATGTAGGCTCCAACTCGTCTGAATTTAAAGTAAGATTTCGTAACCACAAGTCGAACATGCTGAAGAACAAAAGAACTTGTGAATTGGCCATCCATTTTAATGACTCTGAATATGAAATTTCTCAAATCAATTTCATTATTATTGTACAAATTAGGTCTTTTGAAAATTCCTTACATCTAGAACGATTGTTACTCACTAGAGAGGCCTAAGAGACCGCGCAATTATTTACCTTAGTCCTCATGGTCTCAACAAACGGCGGGAATTTAGATTAAAACACCGCATTAAGAGCCACTGACCGTAAATATCGAGAATCCGCCGACAGTTGCAAAATTTCGTAATTCGTTTTATTTTTTCTAAAGGACCCTTTTAATTAACCTTTTTCGAAAATTATATCAAAAAGTTCTATCGCGCTAGTCTGAATGATGAAAACGTTAATGGTTGAAACCTTGTCGATTTTATGTGGTTCTATGTGGTACATTTAGCCTGAGGGTTAATCTGTCTTTAAATAAATTACCACGAATGTAAAATTTCAACAGCATGCCGCGGCTAATTTATTAACCGAAAGTGTCGTCATGCAGAAATCATGTTGTGGCTAGTGGTTTTACTTACGAATTAGATCAAAGGCTCTTGTGAGCAAACTCGTGAATGGAGTAGATAGACTTACACATACAGGTAGAGGTGCTGGAACGGACGGCTAAAAAGTGTCTTAAAAGGATCTGCTTTTAGAGACTTTGAGTTACTTTGCGTATTCCTATTCGCAGGACGCCCATGATAAGAAGCTGTTGAATGTTGCGCATTCGTTCGTTCTACTCCTGTTTGCTATGTTTGATTCTTGTGTTGTACAATTGTTACCTTACAATTTGTTGCTCTTAACCAATTTTTCAAAATATGTTCTTCATGTAATTAATTTTATTACGAATCATAAATGTAAGCTTGTAAAACTGACGGAAGTTTTGGCGTTATGATAGCAAAATAACACTAATATTGCATAAATTTCCATCCCTTAAACAAAGAAGGCCAAAAACAGAGTGTATATGATAGACACTGAACTACATAACTTAGAAGTATCAAAATAATAACAATAATCCTCACGTTATGTTCCAAATAACATCGGCCGAGGTAGCTCGAGAATAGGTCGGCTCGTTAGTTGCTCCGGAAACATCCCTCTGCTTTTCCCACGAACTGCGGAACTGTTTATTAGTCTACAAGCGTAAACCAAAATGATGCATGGCCTGGTCTGAGCTTACAGCCTACAATAGCCCGACACATACAGGTTTCACCCTTGTGTTGCCATGTTAATTTCCGAAGTTTACAGTGTGGTCGGGAGATGACGTCACTACGATGATCGGAAAATGCTAATCATTCGGGTCTACTTCACCCTATGTTATCTAATGCCGACCTTGTGGAGAAACCCGATGGTAAACCTATAGACGGTCGCCCGACTAATTAAGAAGATTTGTTATCTGCTGCCGCAATAATAGAACACTAAACCCTTTAACTCCTGTAAGTGATTGACATGTAACTTCTCCCCACAATATTCATACATTATCTAGCAAACAGGTAATGGGAATACTCAAACTTATCAGGTAGAAGTTGTTACCTTGATCTAACACCAAATTATGATTATTAGATCTGTGAGGAAAAGTGTAGGGTAGAGTTAGCAATCAAATCTTGGGAGTTTAATTGTTAAAGTTTCAAATAGGTGCTATAAGCAACAGGGCTCGACACTTATGGTAGTCAACTAGCCGCAGGCTAGTAGAAATTCAGTTTTGGCTAGTGGTCTTCGATTTCTACAAGCCAGTTTGGCTAGTAAACAAACTGAAATTGTTGCAATGTCTAAATTGTCAATAGCCACTTGCCTAGTAAGTATAGTTGAAAAGTTAGTGTTGAGCCCTGAGCAAGTTGATAAAACAGACAAAAACCATGCAATTCATCACCTAAATTTTTTAACTTTGATCTCTTTTAATATATCATGCAGGTATTTTTAAAAAGGTATTATTTACAATCATGTAATACATGAGCATGTAACTTCAATTTTTTCAACTCAGGCACATAATTGCACTATGGCTCTAGATATTTAATATTTTTAGTTTTTGTTGTCTAACTTGCATACTTTTGATTTATCTTACAGTTGGCCCCCTTGTCATCAGTTTTATTACTCTCATATGCTGCTAATTTGAATTTAAGACTAATTGTCTATAATCCCTTCCCTAGTGATGTGAGATATGCATCTTGTTGACCATGCACATGTGACCTGATGCATGAGGTTAAATTGAGAACATGTCTATGTACATGTATATAACTTTGGCCAAGTAGGGGGAAGAGTTGACTAATGGTCAGAGATGGAATTTCAATTGTTAGTTGGCCCTTCTTAAGGAAATGTTGGTATGGAGTTACATTTTTTAAAAGACTCCTCTCACCTCCAGGTCCAAATTTTAGAAAATGAGGCCGGCAGATCATCCCTAAGAGGAGTCAGCAGGACAGGATAACTTTGTGCTTTAGTTTTTTACAGTTAACTGGTCACAGCAAACTTGTTTACAAAAACTGCATTGTTCTAATTGTGATATTTTATGTGTGATATGCTGTGCATCTATGTATAAAAGTAGATATAAATAGAACTGTTTTTATGTACTACAGTCAAACCTGTATTATGTGATCCCCCATGTGGAACAGCTGGGTGACTGCCTAATACAGGCTGACCACTCAATACAGGCTCCATAGATTAGGGGTAGTATAAAGAATGGCATATTATGCTGTAATTGAACACTTTATGTACAAACACTCACCCAAAAATACTACTAACATTGATTTTGGAAGATAAAAATGGATTAATGTTTGTTTTACTTCAGTGGATAAGCTTTAAGGGACTGTTCAATACAGGTGGAGAACAATACAAACAAGCCTTTGGGACTCAGTAAAGGGTGACCATGACTGCTTAATAGTTGTAGCTTAATGGAGGAGAATATTATTGTCATCAAGGGGAAAGAAATTCAGGACTTTAACAACCTACTGCACAAGACAAGGTGATTGCTTAGGTAATGCAGTGCCACTTGAAGTAGGTTAGACTTTAAGTACATGTTGTCGCCGCAGGTTTCGTTCATAGCTTGACACTCAGGAACGTGCACATGGCGATCGATCTCGGGTTTCCACTGAGATATTTAAATTAGTAAACACATTTTCATTCGATGTTGATTGGTCGATCAAAACAATGCGGTCTTGACAAAACCTCTCGAGGGGACCAGGGGAGCTAACGGGTTTGTTTTTGGACTGCAGGCCGCTGGCTACCCTCGCCGGGCTTATTTTTGTTACCCAACATACTGTGCGATCGGCGAAGGGACAGTGGTCGTTTCAACCAGCCAAATTCGAAATGGGAAAGCCTATCGATCTGGAGATAAAAGTATCGCTAGTGAAAGATCTGGGGGAGGAATTGTGAATCGAGTGAATGGAAAATGGAACTGCAACATCTCTGCTTTGATTTTCTGGAGGAATCGAGACTGGTGGAAATTTTTTGGCGGAATTATTCGCTTCGGGCGACGGACGCTTCTAAAATAGGTTTCCGGCCTTGTCTTTCTTTTAGCAGTTGAACACCAACATAGCGCTAACTCGCCGAAAACGCTTCAAAATGGCCTGAGACGTTCGGAATCAACAAAGAAAACAACAAGGCAATAAAGTGAGCCCATTATATTTCAAAACAAGACATTTTTTTCTCTCTTTTAAGGCAAACCGATAACATCCCATACAAACCTTTCTAAATATAAAACGTTACGCAACACGGTAAGAGTCACGTCCGCTTTTCTCGTAGTGAGCTTGGGCTGCCTGTG